TTAAACACAAAGCACCACGCAATGTTGTCCCGGTTTTGGTGACACGTTTAAAAGCTAAACGTGTTTAGACATAGCTTAATGTATTTAGGATCTTGACGTATTTAGCATTAAATGTGCTTAGGTATTTGACATCATTATGTCAAGTACCTAAGAACATTTAATGCTTAATACGTCAGAAACCTAAACACATTAGGCTTGGCCTAAACACGTTTAGCTTTTAAACGTGTCACAAAAAACGGGACAACATTGCGTGGTGCTTTGTGTTTAACTCCTCCACGCTGTTTTTACCTGTCTCTTATACACATCTAGATGTGTATAAGAGACAGAGGTTATTCCACAACCTGCCGAATTTGTCAATGAAAGAGTAAGATGGACATGAAATGAGGAAAGGCTTGCCTTGTGTGAACTCTGCGAGGAAGCAGAGAGTTTTGAGTACAGAGGAAGAAATTAGACAATCACCAAATATAATGGACAAAAAAGAAATATCACGTCTGGTTTTCAAAGGCTGCAAGTAAAACAATCAACAACTGATGTCAAATGTCTTACACAATAGTTTTTGACAAGCTGCAGTGTGGTAAGATCCTGTTGAATAGAAGAAGCGACTTTAGCAGGATTTGATGGTGCATTGATGTTACAATATAGTGTGGCATCGTCATAAACAACAAAGAAACAAAGAAAACGCTTAGGAACAGACCAACTCCATGAATGCTCCCCTGAGGTAATCCAGTGGAAACAAGTGATATCGTGGTATCACCACCTCCAATAGGTTTAACAACGTTCATTGCCGAGATAGTCTGAATAGGGTATAAGGTGCTTCTGTAAAAGAGGCGTGTAAAGTTGAATGTATGGGGTAATAACTAAACTGATGAGAGTGTATGATGGTCATTCGATGATTAGTAATCTAATAAAGTGTTGTTTATAATACGCTCCATGACTTTACTACTGTAATTGGAAGAAGTGATATTGGACGGTAATGATTGGGATTGTTGGAGGGCCACATTTAGGGTAGTAGGTAAAATAAAAGCAAACTTCCAACAAAAAGGAATAACACTTGCTTAAGCTTTACTCCTAGATAAGGTAGAGCATATTATTGCTGTAATGTTGTAATTTTGTAATGATTAGTAAAAGATAAGATAGTATACATATCCAAGTATCGAAATTCACGCCATCGTGTCGAGATTCAATATTTCGACATTAATTATGTCATCATCATTCCTGATGGCGTGCATTTCGATACTTGGAGTATGTATTATACTATCTTATCTCAGATTAATCAGTGGACCTTTCGGTTATTAGTAAAAGCATTATACGTCACTTTGAGTAATATAATATATAAAAGAATCGAAACAAACACATGTCCTGGAGCTATGCATCTCTGGAATCCATTGTTTTGTTTTGTTTTGTTTGTTTTTTTAGTATATTGTATTCTTGCGGTGTTTAAAATAGCTTGTAACAAAACATCGATTTCATTCAATGGAAACGTATATAATATATTGTTTACACAGTAATTTCGTAATGATTAGTAACAGCATTGAGTTATATCCAGAAGCATATACACTATGAGTAATATAAAAGAAACGAAACAAACCCATGACATGGAGGTATGCGTCTCTGCCCTCCTCCATTATTTTTTTTTCTTGCGTTGTTTAAAATTGCTTGTATACTAACCATCGATTTCGTTCAATGGAAACATATATATAATATTTGTATTAGTGGATAAGTCTATCATATATATATATATATATATTAATAATGATAATAATAATAATAATAATAATATTTAACAAGGAAAACAATAAGGAATATCTCTATCTCTATCTATAATTTACAGACTTGTAAACCTTTACCAGTTAAACAATTTTTAAGACATGACGTGAGATTGTTAGGTCTATCATTTCAGCTGTTTCTGATTTTAAAGAAAATATTCTATCCAATTATGCACTGTTAATTTTGTGTAGATGTGGGATTTGCAGAGATAACAAAAACGATAGAAACGAAAGCGTGGAGGATTTAAACACAAAGCACCACGCAATGTTGTCCCGGTTTTGGTGACACGTTTAAAAGCTAAACGTGTTTAGACATAGCTTAATGTATTTAGGATCTTGACGTATTTAGCATTAAATGTGCTTAGGTATTTGACATCATTATGTCAAGTACCTAAGAACATTTAATGCTTAATACGTCAGAAACCTAAACACATTAGGCTTGGCCTAAACACGTTTAGCTTTTAAACGTGTCACAAAAAACGGGACAACATTGCGTGGTGCTTTGTGTTTAACTCCTCCACGCTGTTTTTACATTGTAGATGTGTCCATACGTAATAATGTTTTTTGCACTGTATTTGTTAATAAAGTATTACCGGTATATATTAATTGATGCTGAAAGACGTTTCAACATAACTTGAATACAGTATATAATTCATTCTCACCTTAATATTTCTAATCAGGGCAGCGTCTTCTTTTTCTTCTTTGCTAATTGCAATTAATAGGCCATTATATCCACCATCTTGCACACTTATACTATTTCTCTTCCACGATGCCAATGCTGATGTCAATGTCCAAAAGAAGACAGTGAATATATAAATGCGTAGACATTGAATCATTTTGCTGTTTATCGGAGCTGCTCCCAAGAACTACTGTTTCAATAGGCGTCTTAATTATCATGGTAAAATAAATATCTATTTTAATGTTGCTGGGTAAACCCAAAATCTAAACCTATCACCGCAGAGCTCACAATTGCAGTCGCAAATTCAAATCATTGTGCCATAATTGAGGAATTCATTCACGCATTAAGCACTCACAACAAGTATATTCTTTTATATTTGTAAACTACTATTTACTATAGTAGATTGCTAATATAATATATATTATATAATAACACAATTATATAAATTATTGCCCACTTAATACAGTACACATTATATTCAAATTGTGCAGCCTTGGATAACAAACTTTCTTGAAAATGGTACGGTATCTCATCAAACTCTTGCACGACTTCGTTTAAATCTATCAGATCGGCTTTGAGTTGGCCCGATTTATGTTTGGGTTTTAATAGGAACTGTTTCATCTTACTTTCATTAACTACATGCGACTGAATCCATATATACAAAAGCCAAGATAATGGCCTTAGACTGCAATAGTTTTGACATATGTGTTCAGGTGTGCAAGGATTTAGTCCATCCCTAAAATATCCTTTTGTTGGGTACTAGGCCTATAACAGAATGTTGAATGCAGTAGGCCTACTAAGTATCAATCTAAGGACCATACTACTCTTAAGGAGCTGTTTTGGGTGGAGTCGGGGTTAAGAGGCGATTAAGAAAGTAGGCCTAGCATCTAGAAGAATGAGGTATTATGGTAACCACCATTGTATGGACATCAGTTATGAAGACGTCACACCAATATACGGCGATGAATCAGGGTGGAAATCAAGGTTTTTGTTTCTCCACCAAATTTTTTTATATTTATTATTCATCATGAAATGGTGAAATATAATTTTATATCTGAATCTTGTAACACCGTATATACGTTACTAAAAAAAAGAAGAAAATACAACACCAGTGTGCTAATTGAGGTTTATTTTATTTTAGAACTAGATAGATTTTATAATTGTATTATCCATAAAATTCAATAACGATGTAATCATTTTACATGTTATTTATATTCTAAAGTAAGAAGTTCACTACCAACGATGCTCAACCAATACATTATCTAATTGCTTTCAACGCGTTTATAATCACTTCGTCACCCGATTATACCTAAATGATCTGATAAGTATCAGTTTCGGTGACAAATACAGTCATGATAGTGTCAACAAACCTGATTAGATTAGGGGATTGGTAAAGACGTCAAATCATTATTTGCTTTATTTTACTGTACGATTTTAAAGTGTAAATGAGCTACATTGATTGATGTTTTTGCTTACTCTATAAACTTTACAATTACTGATCAAACATAGTACAAAGTGAACAAATCATTTACATCCTTTACATTCCTTTTGTCAACATTCTATAAATTTGGAATGTAAGTTATTATTTAGAAATCGTTATCGACTAAACATACAGTAGTTATACCACGTTTGGAACAAGTGAGTGATCGGTCTGACTTACCAAGTTCATTTACAGTTTAGAGAATGGTAACAATGAGCAATCAGTGGCGTCACGCACGGGGCCCCGACATTGTAGTTTAAGACAGATATAGGCCTAATAATATATTATAAACTATACTACCATGGTTTCATTCAATGGGGCCTCGACAGTTGTAAACATTGAAAATACACTGGCATAGCATCATCATACAGAAACCGCATTACCTCAGGGCTCATGTAAACGATCGCTACAGTTTTTAGGGCCATTGTAGGCCTATTTACAACGCAGTTAACAGTTCATAAATGCCCTAAGCTCTGAGCGCGAGGGGGCCTCAGACACATACCCGGGCCCTACGTGGCCCCCTCGGCTCCCAGCTCTGTTGTTCGCTCCCGCCAGCAAAATTAACGCTCGCTTCACTCGCCTATTATGGGTCCCCAATAACAGTAACCGCCGGGCCTCACAAACTCAATTGACGCATATGCGAACAATGTTTGTTAAAATTGGATCAATTAGAATATTTTGTTTCCTTATTCTCCATGCTATATGTATGCCTAACTGAAACTCTAACCCGCTTTGCAGATACGGGATATGATGTATACACATGATAGTTTGATTTAATAGCCTATAGGCTTCAGGCATTTTGTCCAGTAATAACGGCTCGTTCGGCCTCTATTTTGTATATCATCCACAGAACTATAATTGCATAATATTTTAGCTAAAGTTGTACTATATGTACTTGATATCAGGTCTAATAATAATAATATTTACAATAATGTGTATTTAAGCACAATAATACCTTTTAGTTATACATTAGAATTAGAATACCCACATACTAAATTTATTATATATATTTTTATCGACACCCATCGATTTAATAACTTCTGTGTTAAAATACATGTACAACTTTTTTTTCCATTGTATTGGAAATAATTTTTTTTCGTAAAATGAACTGCTTTATATTTTATAACAGACGGTACAACTTTATACTTCAACAATACAATTTAATATTTGAATCGGTGATCCAGTTTCAGCCAACATTTGAATGACTACTCCCTGGTTTTGTTCTAGACATTTTATGGTACAGAAAACACCAACAAAACATTTTCTTGAATTTATAGGGTCATGTGTTAGAATGGCCCGAATGATAGTTCAGCTGCACATGAAGGAGGTATACTTTTGTTGAAAAGTCATTAGAACACTATCTTCTCAAGATGTAATACACAACGAATACTTGATTACACAATTTGGTTTTAATAAGCCAAAGCTGCTAGCGAGATAGCTTGGAACAAAAAATAATAATATGCTTACTGCTACACAAAATAATTGCAATACCTTTAGACAGTGATATATAATACCTCCGTAATTTAACTAGGGTAGAATAGTTAGCTGAGTAGGCCTTATAATTATTGATTATAGTTTTTCTATGTTTTTAAAAGTTAACTTAACTCGTCTATCGCATTATCAATCATGTTATATTATCATCTTTCAACTATATAATAATACTTGAATAGTGTGTTGGACATTCGTTTGTTAAAACAGAATTCAACCATAATAAACTTAAATAAGTTTTCCAAAACTGATTATCAAGATCTTAAGGTATCATGTTTTATTGAATTAGGCGTAAGCAGGATTAACATGGACTTGATCTCCATCAGACCCAGTTGTTGATCGCCTTGTGTGTTTTATATATAGGCCGATTAACACAAACATCAAGACGCCTGCAACACCGATTGCCACCAAAATCCATACGAATGTACTTATTCCATTGCTTTCTGTTTCTTGTTCAAGTGGAGGGATATATTCCAAATTTGCAGAAACAACGTTGGACAACCCACCGGTATTGTTAGCCTCATCAATTGCCATAATAGCAAAGTAATACGTAACTTCATCTCCGCGGTTTGGTAGTCGGATAGAAAATTCCTCTGTTTGTCCAGGTTTTTTGATTGCCAACAAATTTCCATTGATGACGTCATCGGATGTAACTTTAGTGGCATCTGAAAAGTTTGTTGTTATCTCTTGGAATGTTTCAGCGAATCGAAGGTCGTATTCAGAGACTATTATAACAGTAATAATAAAAGTGTAATTACAAAATATTGTTCAATCCAAATATTTTAAAACAGTAAGTACTTGCATGCGGTCTATAATTTGTGTCTTTGTTTGATCTTGCTAAATGCATGTCTTCTACATTAGCGTTTTTATTTATGTATGCTATTTTTGCACTAAATAAACGTAATTAAATTAGTCAACCAATAATTTAACGTATGTAATGTGTATATAGGCATACCTGTTCCTTTATCGAAGTCATCACCAACTGCTGTCCATTGTAGTGTCGCACTTTGGTCTTGATACGACACTTCAGTCACTGTGAGATCCATAATCCTTGATGGTTGCAAAAAGTCTGTTGTTTGTTCAACGTAATCGGACACTTGGATTGCGCCACCCGATGCTGAACGCTCAAATATATTAACAGGTTTCATGATCAACTCTATTGAAGGAAAATAATAAATTCAGGTCTCTCTCTCTCATTAAAGACTTATCCAATTAAACTTCACCTCCAATTAAAGACCACTTTCTGTGGTTCCAAATGAACATTTCTTTATATTATTCTAATTAAAGACCAAAGCTGCTAAATACAAACCCCGTTCAAGAAATGGTCTTTGATTTGGAGGGAGACCTGTACATAATTTATTATTGGATTTATCAAATTAGATAAAAAAACATCGAGTAATGGTGATGGGGGTAAGACCCTTAAAAATCCATTATAAATTGTTATCACAAAAGCAAACATTAAGCAAAGCTCTAAGCACACAGATATTCATTATTTTCTAAAAATTAATTTCTCTTTGTCTTTTTCAAATGTTTATGTTTTAATTCGAAAGCTGTGCAACCAAAATGTCTTTGTATGTATTTATATGAAGACTAATAAAATGTCTTGTATCTAGTAAAAAATACAGTGTTATATACTATTTACCTACCCTCTTGAATAATAGGAAAAGATCTAGCATTTGCCACATTCCCAACTGATTCGGTCTGCTTGTTGCCCCGGACTTTAACTTCAATACTGTAGCGTCCATTGTCAGTAAAGTTGAAGAAATAAGCCGAGTAAACTCCGTCATATTTTGATAAGTCTGCATTTGTTCCACTATCATATAGTTGAATGATGTCATGGGGTGCATTTGGTCTCTCTAAAACTGCAATAACATCAGCATTAGCGACAACTTCATTTCCCTTGCTTAAAAACGCAAATATAGTTATATAAGGAGTGGTTTGATAGTTAATGAATGGGTCACTGACAAAAGACGTGAGAATGACTGGTGCTTCGTCAGCCGAGGCTTGCTTAGATTCAACAGTTACTGTAACGATATGTGATGGAGACGACAGCAACTGATTAGAGATTTCAAAGTTCCAACGACCGGCCTGAAAAATATTAATGACAGCGATAAAATATGTTTAATTGCATCCTCAGAATAATTCAATATTTCAAATGCCATTTTCAAAAATGTTTGTTTCACTGTTAATGTTTTTTTATTTCTTTATTTATAACTTTTATATTTTAAGCATTTATCTTTATGTAAAAGGGCCCCGCTTGACAGTGGTTTATTTTAACGTTGGGGTGTTTATGTCCGATGTTTTGTGCTCAGGGGCGAAGCCAATCCCGTTTTGCCACTACATTAGGGAGGGGAATACGTGTACGCATACGTTTAGCTATCCGTAACTGTTTGTAGCCATGCTGTGCTTTTCGTAATGACAGCGAAATATAGGCGTCGGGAATTAGGCCCTAAACCAAGGCTATTCCGTTTTCTTCTATCGGCTTCTCAAAATCAGATTTTGGCATTGCCTCAAGTTTTTGTATGATTTTGGAAATTGGAAGTGGTTTCCGAATAATACTCCTTCCCTTGTTGCCCAAAAAGTTGGTTATTTTGTGACCCAAAAATGCGTGGCTACTTGACCCTAGTTAGGCCTACATTACAATTCCGACACCACCAAGCACCAACGCTTTTTAATACCCCAAAATGATACGCATCCTATCGTAAATTGCTGTCTTCAAAAGTGACAAAAAGTGACAAAAATAGCATATATGTACATATTAAAGATACAATTATGTTTTAAACTTACTGTAAAACGTGAAAAAAAATCGAAAATCGTATAAGAAATGAAAAACTGTCCTACGCCTTTATCACGTAGGCTACGTGTAGTGAGCGAGATATACGTGTCGTCCACATAGTTAGCGGATAGCAACCGGCGTATGACATCATAATGATGACGGATACGTCACACTAACTGTATGATTTCGCATTCAAAATTTCCCTATTAGGCTATTTAAACATTTCAGTACATATAAAATACGATGTTTTTAAATAAGGTAATGTGAAAGACACACTCCTACTCTTGTAAAATGTTAATGTTTTTGAGACACATAACTGAAATGAAAGGTGATTAAATTATTACTTTAAAGAAATTTAACGAAATTGCTATAATATTATTAAACTTCTTTAAAGATCATATATATCGACCTTAACCCTTACATTGCCAGCTATTTTTTTAATCAGTCAACCATAGAGCAAGCTGAAAACAATGCCTGTAATACCTCTGTGCTACCTAATTATTTAACAAGGTCAACGTAATGCTTATTTTGTGATAGTGTATATTATTTGCTCAATAATTCATTAACTATTGAGATTATGAAAATATAAATCTAAAAACATTGCTCAGCATAGTTTGTTTTATACATATACTTTTATTTCTGCATTTTATTTATTATTTAGTGAATAAAAATAGAAATATTTTGTCAATGATCACAAATATTAGAGGCCTCTTTATTTGCAGAGAATGTTTTCAGTCACAGTAAATTGCTTGCTGAAAATAATAAAAATAACATTATCATCACAGTCTAGGCCTAGGCTAGGCCTATTTCTTCGTAGGGTAGGCCTAGCAGGCCTACAACATCGTAGAGTCTATGTTAGTTTTCTTATTATCCACCACAGCTGTAACAACTACAAAAGAATACAACTTCTCAGCATTTCAAAACATCATATTTTCAACTTGCAAAAACTCAAACTTCTATCAAAACAGCCCCTGAGAAGTTTCACATTTGCTTTCGTATACACAGCAAACACAAAACGTTCTTATAACGTTCGCGAACGTTGTGGCTAAATATGTCACAAAATAACGTTCGCACAAGATTTTAAAAACGTTTAAACGTTGTGACGTTATAAGTTATAAGTACGTACATATAGTTCTACAAAACAACGTTTTTATCACCCAAACTGTAACGTTATTATAACGTTCTTAGAACGTAATATTGTTAGCAACCCAACAAACACAAAACGTTCTTATAACGTTCGCGAACGTTGTGGTTTAGTATGTCACAAAATACCGTTAACACAACGTTGTAAAAACGTTCAAATGTTGTGACGTTGTGAAATTAGGTTATAAGTACGTACATATGGTTCTACAAAATAACGTTTTTATTACCAAACTGTAAACGTTTTTATAACGTTCTTATAGCGTAATATCGTTATTATCGCTGCCGGTCTATAGTCGGTTTTTAGAAGACCTTTCGCTGTAAGATAAGATGGATAATATGTACAGATATATATTACAGATAGACGGTCCAGACTACTTTAGTTCCTTAGGGTTCTGGCTGAGGTATATTTGTATATCTATGGCATTTTTAAGTGGCCAAAAATGACTCTCTCAGACTTGTAAACTGAATGCATTTTCTTAATAATAATACAGGAATTTAATGCAGCGCCTTTTGCCAAGGGATACAGGGTTAAATTAATAATTAATCAAAATATAATAACACCAGGCATGACAACTGAGAAACCGACAAAAACCAAGATAACAAAAAGCATATTGTCCCTCGCTGAGAAGACTATTGCAAAGAAGAATTGTACTGTTTTATGTTACTTGATTTGGAATAAATTACCTTTGAATTGAACTGAATTGAAGCAATAGAAAAGGGTACTGTTTTGGCAAATAATTGAACAAAGTGAGATGGCAAATCTGCGAAAAAGGATTCTCTGTCTAATCGGCAACCAAAGAATTTTCCGGAGTAGTGGACTAGCAATATGAAATTTATGGAGGCCAGAGATGAAACATGCACAACTATTCTGAAACTTCTGGAGTCTATAAAGATCTCCTTGAGAAATGTTTATTGAAAGAGCGTTACAGTAGTCAGACCTGGAAAGAAAAAAAGTTATGACAGGTGTCAAAATCGATGTACACTGGCACAAGTACAACACAAAGCTGCCTATTAATAATTTGGGATAACTGGGTGACATGCTTAGTCATTTAATTCATTTAGGGATCAAAAGGAATGCCAATATTCCTAATTCATGATGTGGGTTTAACACACTGAATACCAAGATTCAAGGTATAATGTTAAGGTTCTTATAATGATGGGCTGATGACGCAATGAAGAATTCCGTCGTCTTATAGGTAAGCTTAAACTTCTTCTTAGTCATCCATGATCGCAGATCGTTGATGCATTCAGAGAGCCTATAAGGAGAAAATTGCATCGCCATGAACATTAAGGTTAAAACGTATAGCTGACTGTCATCGGCACAGATATGGTGCTGAAAGCCCAGTATGAAAAGAAATATAATGACAAGAAATATAATATTTGGCAATCAATTGCTCGCAAAATATCATTCTGAACACAAGGCAAATCAGTCTCGGTACTGTGACCTCTGGGGCGGATGCAGGGGTGCGGTCGCACCCTTTAAATTCTATTAAGAAAATTAATTGTTGCATTATATTGTTGATATGAATTATTGGTAAGATTTTTAAGGTATGAGAGTGCAATTTCCTGGCACACAGAGATCGATATTCTCAAAATTTTCGCCCCCGGCCCCCCACATATTTTAAGGGGAAAGGGTTGGTCCACCTCACTTTTCGGGAATCAAGAAGATATGCCTGAAAATTATTGCAATAAACTGCATAAATGACTCAGGTTTTAACGAAAGAGCGCGGTAGGTCTACAGCCAGAGTACATCTTATTTCATAGCACGACACCGGTATACTCTGCCCACAAACATCCGCATTACCTATCATACACGTGCCGTTATTATAATTTGAAAAGTATGAGATAGAAGATAAAATTGGTTTTCGGCACATGAAGTAGGTAAAGTAAATACATCAAACACAATTAAGTTTTATTTTCTATGATACATCACAGCGATTAATTAGATCGATAATAATGAATTTTACATATAAGAGTGTCATATCCGGCAATCTAGAAGTACAAGTTCCTTGTAACTTGGTTAAGGTTTCACAACAATTTCATTCATATCAATTGATTACGGTAGTTTTTGAAATATCTTGTCTAGGACGTTTTGCTCCCTTTAAATGGTCCGCACATCTACGTCCTACTCCGGACCGTCCCCTAAAATGTAATCATTTCTTTATTGGGTTAGGCCCTACTCCCTTTAAATTATGTCTGTGCAGTCGTTTCTGAGATATTTTGAACACATAAAAACACATGCAAACACCAAAACATGACAGACACACACATATACACACACAAACTTACACGACTGAAAGCATATATCTCCTGTCGGAGATAATAATTATATTTTGGTCAAAAGTAAAACTAGTTTTATTACAAACAGCTTTTCAGAGGGCGCTTAAGTTGGGAAGGTAAGTCAGTGTTAACATTAGGAATAGCTGGATCATTAATACCAGGATAAATAAAAGGCAGATTTTCAGACTTATGCCCATGACGTACACCCGTAGGCCTGCGAAACTTAGGTTAGGTAATATGAAGTGTTCTAGCAAGAGACCATACCTCATTAGGAAACCTAACTTTAAAATTATCAGCTAAAAACGAGAAAGCCCCATGAAAACGTCAGAAGTCACCAAACAGGTTAGGCTGTGAAACACTGAAACAATGAACCAAAAATGAGCTGCATAGATGACTAGTTGAGTGGACAGAAACAATCAATAGTGCAACCAGTTAAGACATGGGCCTAGCTGAAACAAATGATAAAATACAAGTAGAATTCACAAACACATTAAAATTTACACAACTAATCAGAAACACAATCAAACAAAACAAGAACAAAATCACCAGTTATAATAATCAGAAAACGAAAAAAATCGAGGGCCCGTGCTAGCTAGCGGGTGTGGTTGTCGAAGAATGGGCGTAATGTCCTTTGACATTATCGGTAGGAAGGGAATCCAAATAGTAGGCCTAGAGTATTTAAGTAATTATTCCTATATAAACTTTCTTATATTTGCGAAGACAAAGATGAACATGTCTGGAGATGTTATGGCATGTGCTTTATAATAAAAGTGCTTGAATATTATTGTATTCAAGTTATATACATATTCAATATTGTATATAACATGAATACAATAATATTCAAGCACTTTTATTATAAAGCGCTTGAATATTATTGTAGACCTATTCAAGTTATATACATTATCCAACATTTAAATTGTAGGAATAGAACAAAAATAAAGAAGAAAAGAAAGGGTATGAATAAAAGAAAAATTAACATTAAAATAACAGAAAAAACACGAAAGATTGAAAAGAAATGACAATGAAAACGAAAGACAAGACGAAATGAATAAGAAAACGAAGGACTGAAAAGGAATAAGTAAAAAAAAGAAAGAACTAAAGAAAATAAAGGAAAGAAAGGAATAGAAAACAATAGAAGGAAAATGGAAATTATACGAAAGGCTAAAAAGGGAAGAACAAAAAGCAAAAAAGGACAAGGTATAGTAATGAAAGGAAAGAAACAAGTATGTAAGAGAATAGATAGAGTAAATTGGGGGAATGTAAAAAGGTAAGGATAATAAATAATCAAATTTAAAGATTTCGTCAGTAAATGCTTTATAATTGCAATTATAACATTAATATATAAACCTTTTGATTTGGTAACTTGTTAAATCTTATCTCACTTTTTTTGTTTTTTACAATAGCAATTTTTAAATACTAAATACTATTTTTCTTTTCGTCAAGAGTTACTGCGCCTCTGAATAGCACACTAGATAGATGGCGCATTCAAGTGCTGTTTTATTATTATTTATTATTAAAAACTTCTATAAAGATGTTATGAAGGGAAAATGTCTCAGGAAAGAGGATGTCATCTGTCTTATTGGAGATCTCAATGCAAACGTAGTAAAGGGAGGAACTCTAACATTGTAGGACGACAGCGGGGTACATCGTCTAGTTCAATTTTGGCAACAAAATAATCTTTTTATAGCAAATACATGGTTTCAGCTTCTACCATGAGGGTTACCATATATACTTAGAAATCCCATGAAAACTGGAAACGAAACCAGATAGATTATATTAATTCAGTAAGAGATTTAGGAACAGCATACGCAGTACTAAGACATGGTCAGGCGCAGATATCAACTCTGATCATAATCCTGTAGTTGCAAAAGTAATGCACAGAAGAAACACCACATGTTGCAAAAAGGCAGAAAAGCATGGTTCAACAAACAGTATGAAGATATTGAAGAACTAAAAAGAGAACAGAGAACATAAAGCTTGAGAAATGCACTATGATAAAGAAGATAACAGAAAAAGATGTACTAAAAAAACAGTATAGTGGTTGTATTAGAGAGAAAAATGGTACCATTACATTTGAGCAGGATGAAATAAAAGAAAGATGAATGGAATAATATGTGAAGAAGCTCAATGATGATCTTAGGAAACCCATGCAAGAAAGTAAGGGTTAAGTGGAGAAAGAATTTTGAAAGAGGAAGTAAAGAAGGTGATATAGATTCAATGAAAATTGGCAAAGCGACAGAATCATTAAAAGCGATGATAAATTCGAGATTCTAACCAGCATTTTATATATGAAGATGGTCACTAGTCAGAGGATATTAAACAATCTATTCTCATTCCAATTTCCAAAACAAAATAAGGCAGATAATTGTTCAGACTTAGGAACAATAAATCTGCTGAGAATTGTAACAAAATCTTTACTGAAAGTTATACATAAACGAATTAGCAAAAAAGTGGAGCAGGAAATTACCATAATTCAACGTGTGTGGGATTAGACCAGGAGGTGGTACTAGAGTGGGAATCTTTAACCTCAGAGTAATATATGAAAGAGCAATGAATGTGGAACAATATAATTACTTTAATCAGTTTCATCAATTATAGCATATTAGGATGATCTAATTTTTACAAGATATTGGATATACTAATAAGGACCTTCGGCTGATTACCAAACTTTACTGGGTACAAAGTACCTGCATAAGAACTATAGGTGACTGTAATAATAATAATAATAATAATAATAATAATAATAATAATAATAATAATAATAATAATAATAATAATAACAATAATAATACAGTAATAATAATATATTTAATCACGGAAGATGGGAGAAATGAAAAGAAAATAAAAGAAGGTTGATGATTAGTAGAGTTAATTACGAAAAAGATGGCTGCAACTCGTGAATCAAGAAATAGCATACACACATACAACAATAATTTCAATATGCTATATTTGGTCCACCCTCCTATATGCATATGAGACTTGGACTATTACCCCTGCAATTGCTGACAGAATAGAAGCAATAGAGGTGTGGTTGCTCAGGCGCATGTTGAAAGTATTATGAAAAGAAAAGAAACGAAGCAATGAGGTTCTTAGAATAGAGTTCGAGCTCTATGGTCGTTAAACTACCGACAGGTAACAGTAATCTCTAATGCTTATGAGCTAGATTGGTAGACCTATATGAATTCGTGAGAAGAAATATAGTTATATATATTTTTTTAATACGTGAGCAATTTTTACAGTAACGTTATAAGCATTTTGCCTTAAATGTATAAGTGCCATTTTAATAATAAAACAAAAACAAAAACAAAAAAAACAATTTTTAGCATTTCGCTTTTTGTTTGCATTATAATGGAGTGTAGTTGAATAACTTGGTGGATATAATGTCTGCTTTCTAATCCCATTGCAATAAGATAAATTCCTGTCTAGGTAACAGGATTTTTTTTTCTCACGACCAAAACAACTCCACCCCCTAAGCCTCATAATGCGACTTAGTCTGTGTAGGCCATCCTGTGTGTATGTGTGTGTCAGTGACGGAATTGCCACTTTAAGGAGGATATCCCTTAGCCGTAGTGTCTAAAGCTGAATAAAAAGAATAATAATGAAGCTCTTTTTTATTGAGATTATGGTGGCTAAACAATTGATCATGATGAATAGTTTAAATAGTTATATTAATCAATAACATGGTTACTTACCAAAGCGCGCTCTTTTATGCGGATTGTGATAATTTCATCATTACTGTTTAAAGAATACTCTTCACTAGTGTTATCAAATCGTTGTCCATCTGAGTTCTCTAGAACGACCGCTATAGAATAATCAAGCCACGCAAAGAGAAAAACTGTATCAACCCCAACACTTGTATCAATAATAACGTAACTTGTAACAGTGCCCGTAGTGTTGTCGATGGCCAATGCTTCGCTATATAGCTGAGAAAAAAAATGGTATACAGCATTAATATTTCTATAGGAATGGCTTAACGGATGGTATTCTCTCGCCTCTATTTGAGATCCTTGGAGATTTTATGATAATCTTCATCCCAATCAGATAGGGATGTGCTAGTTTCAATAACACGCCATCTTTTAGATGAGATGTTTATTGCATGACCAACATGTACGTTATTGAACGCAATTAGTCCAGTCAATCTACCAAATGACCCGGAAGTAATTGCAATTTTTATTTCAACTGGATTTTACTTCATGTGTACCCTACAACAACATATTGAAAATCTAGGAAAACATTTTTAGTGGAAGCCACCTAAATTTCGACATTTAAATATTTAATATCTGGGTTAAAGTTCATGACAATATGGTTGTTATATCTTGTCAACTAATCTTCAACTAGTCTTGAGAGTTGCTTTTGGTATCAAATTGCTTAGAATGTGTATGTTCCTATTCGGTCTAATGGGAAATGTGGTCCGGAAATGCTCTTATTGACCATTCACTCATATTGAAAGAAAGTTTCAAGGTCATTACAATATAGTTTTATATCTTGTCAACTACTGGTCTCAGAGTGTTGGTTTTGGTGTAAAATTGCTTAAATAGTATGTTCCTATTTGGTCTAATGAGAAATGTGGTCTAAAATGACCGGAATGTCCTTTAACCAATATCTAAAGACATTTTCTTACAGTATCTCTATAACTATGGATTGTAGAGACTTGAGACTAATCTCAAACTATACACAGGCATGCCTGTATCTTACATGTCTCTGATGTTAATAAAGGTCTGAACTTTGACCTAATTTGTTTATACTACAATTTGCATAATTAAATTTTACAATCCAAGAAACAATATTATGTGGTTTACAGAAGGCTTTTAATTAGAAAACAAAATTAATATGGCATACTACTGGCTAGAACTTGTTATTAGACCGTACAGTTTAAGTGGTCAACTGGTCAAAAATCAATACCCAATTATGGAATCAAACTATTATACTGTAGTGTAGTCAAACTACTGGAATATTCTATCATAGCAAATAGTAGCATTTGTAATGTTAGGTCTATATTCAATTCAAAAGACATTTATTTTCGTGCATAAATAAAACAACAACAATGAAAGAGAGAGCAAAAAGTACAATGCGAATAAATATATTTAAAAAAATTTAAAGATAAAAATATGGGCCAAGTACATATTTTTTTTAATTAAAATGTATGGACGAAGGCATATTCCCTAAAAGATTGATACATTGTGCCGGGTATGCCTGTAACAAAGAAAAGATACAGAACATATATGATTGAGCAAAAGAAAATCGATAAGTTAAAAAAATAAAACAAATGAATATTATAGTAAAAATTATTCAATAAGAATAGTGTTATTTATCAACAAAGTCCTTTTTGGTAGGGTACCAGATTGTGGAAACTATGGGTAGGGCCACTTCGGGGCCCTGCGGACCACCGCATGAGCTGTCTCTTATACACATCTTACATATAAAAAAAAACAATTAGACAATAAAAAAAACAGGACAACAATATTTCAAATTACAGAACATAGAACAATGACCGAGTGTAACTTTTTGCTACTAGTACAGTGACAAAAGTTGAGATTTTATTTTCTTGGAGAATGAGTTAAGAGAGGCAGCATCTAATATTGTAGTAGCTAAATTATTGTACATTAAAGGTCCAGAGTACCTAATACTATGTTGGGAATAATTTGTGTTGTGGATGGGAATATGAATATTAGTTCTGGTTCGAGTGGGGTATTTGTGAATGGAGTGATTAGGAACAAACATGGCATTTAAATGATTTGGAAGAATTGAGTGAGTGGCAGAGAATACAAACAAACCTTGTTGAAATAAATTAATATCTGTGAGTTTTAGGAGATTTAGCTTGGAAAATAAATGGGAGGAATGCGACCGTGGAGAAATGCCAGATATAATCCTTACAGCTTTCTTTTGTAGAATGTTGAGTTTATTTGTGTTGGTTGGATACGTGTTGGCCTATACAATATTACAGTAGCTCAAAATAAGGAAGGATGAGAGAACAATAAAGTGTTTTGAGAATACTAAGGGGTAAAAATGAAGATAATCTGGATATGATACCAAGGCTTTTGGAGACTTTATTCTCAATTTCTTGTATGTGGTTTTTCCATGTAAGGCTATTGTCGATGGTAATTCCTAAGAATTTTGCAGATTGGACAGATGGAATTTCATGGCTGTCAATAGGAATTTTATGGGTAGAGACGTCAATACCTCTAAGTAATTGTGGATTTTTGAGGTAGCTTTTAAACAGGTTAAGTGCGGGTCCACGGATTCCATAGTGAGCCAGTTTGTAAAGAAGTATATTGTGATCAATAGTATTAGAAAGCCTTGGAAGGATCAATGAAAAGTCCGATTCCAAGATGCATTTTTTAGGCTATATTTATACATATCTTGTTTTAACCAATTAACGGCCAAACAAATATCTCATTGATTTTGCACTTGAAATAAAATATCAATTGCATAATAAAGACAAAGTGTCGTTCAATTGGTAATCAAGCTTCTCACATTGTGGCACGCCACCGTCATTTTCAAATATTTGTCAAGTCAAAAAAGCGTGATGTGATGTTTGTATGCCTGCTTCGAACAAATTTGATATTTTTCTTGCCAGAATATGTGTTATCGTTATTCCGACCCTGAAAGACTCCATGGTGTCCGGCGGATAATAATAGTTTGCCATTAAATCAGTCTACATTCAGCCTGCTTACTGTACAGTAAGAATATACAGTAAAATGCACTATTATTATAATATTATTATACTATTTCGTGATGTATAGTAAGAGTATGATTTTTATAATATTCAGTTTTATTTTTAAAATTAATTCTCACCAGAAACTCAGACTCAAAAATACTGGGATGGTGTCCTGCAGCTGCAGAGGTTACTCTAAATCATTAAGTAATGATTTGGATCATCATGGCCAGATTCAGAAAACCCAGTTTGCCGAATGCCAAATTGCCGGTTCAAAAATTGTGAAACCCAGTTTGTCGAATCCCACTTTGCATGCTGAAACTAGTTTGCCAAATGTCAATTTAAGAGCAATGTAAGAAATTTTTTAAAAAACATAAAATACATTATAGACTATTAGACTCCAAAAATGGCATAGCCTACACTGGCATAATTAATAAATACAATTTTATCGGGAAAAAACTGCAATACACATGAAAAGGCGCATACTAAATTAAGCAGACAGCAAATGCATCTTAAGAATACCACAATAATTTTCAACCTCAATACCATAGGCCAAGCCTAATAAATTTATTATCAAAACTCGGTATACTATAAAACAGACATGTTTCGGAAAATCCTTCGCCATCTTCAGTGAAACGATTGCTAACATGCAATCTACTATTTAAAGGGAGTGAACAACTGTGTAGCATTGTATTTTAAATAAATGGGAATTGAACCATTAGCTATTTGAACAGACATTATGACATTGCACTTTTTTAGAGAATCGATTTGACTGTAATTGTAAAGAAGAAAGAACGGCATAAATAAAGATGATAATGTAATGATGAACATCAGAATGACAAAGATAAATTAACATATAAAAGTTGCTTGTTGAGAGAGGGCGTGTCCCATTTTATATGCAACACCTCCTTGATTTTTCTTTGGCTGGCTGTTGAAGCGGAACACAATACACGGAAGCAATCTTCTTTTCATGAGGTTTTACATTGGGATGAGCTATTAAGATGTGCGAGTTCCTGTCCGTGGTCATGCGTTCGTTAACGCGCGTTGCAAAGTGTCGGCCAGTTTCGCATATAACAGGCATTACAGCCTGCGCACGTGAATTTATACACAACGTTTGAACGTAGACCAGTAGGGACAGGATCTTTCACAGAAAACATATTTCTAATTTTAAATGAAGAAAAAACCAATTTGATATTTAAATCATTACAAAACTGTTTCGTTAAAGCATTTATCTTATGTGAAATAAGGCAACTTAAAATAACGGATATTAGATTTTTCGTTGGTTTGTTTGTTATCGGAGTGAATAAAGACAAGATATCTAGAAATAATTTTGTCAATTAAATACATTGGAAACATATTTATATCTAAGGATAACAATTAAACCCTTGAGGTCACTATGAAAACCTATCCAATTATTGTTGATCTTATAAGTTCTGTCAATTAAAGTACGAATCAATGCAATTTTGTATGGAAAAGAGCAAAAACTAAAGAAATTTGTGAGTAATCCTGTGAAATTGTTTTTTCGATATACATTGGTTTGGGTGGATCCGTTAGTAGATTTTGAAACTAAGACATCAAGGAAGGGAAATTTGTTTTCTACTTCAGTTTCCATTGTGAATCGTCAATAGAATAGCACATTAGGTCCATGATATTGATCAAGCCAGATCTTTTCATGGTGCCCCATGAATAGGTTTGCAAGCACTGGGGCTAGAGGGGACCCCATTGATAACCCATCCACTTGATCATAATATGAACCATTAAACAAAAAATGAGTTTGAGAGGTTGCAAACATGAGCAATCTTTTAAGATCAGATTTTGTTATGTTAAAAGTATTATGTGGGTGTTCTAAAATGTAGTCTACCGCAAGGTCTATCGATTCATTAAGTGGAATGTTCGTAAATAAACTTTCAACATCAAACGAAAAAATAAACTTATCACATACATTAATATTTCTAACGGTATTAACAAAAGTGAAGGTATTCCTAACACTAAAATCAACAGGTAAATTACTTTGCAATATGCTGCATAAGAACTTTGCAAGCCCATAATTGTAGGTATCTATGGAAGATACAATCAGTCTAAACGGAGGTGCACTACCTGGATCGCGATGTTTATGCATTTTCGGTAGTCCATATATCCTGGCTGGTTTAGAACTTGTAGGATATATGCTTTCGTAAGTGTTTTGGTCAAAAGTTCCCTTTTTCTTTAACGATCTAAGAAATCGTTGCAATTTACTTTCACGAGATATGGTAGGATCTCCAGCTATTTGCTTGAATTTCGTTTTATCAAATATATTAATAAAAATAGGTGAATCATATACATTGCGATCCAGAATGACTACCCCGTTACCTTTATCCAGTTTTAATATGACAATGTTTTTGTTGTTTTTGAGTTCTTTCAGAGTCCGTATTTTTCTTATGTCCTTACTTGAGAGACGATACGAGCTTACATAAGCGTTGGATAAGTGTGTAAGCTTTGAACGAAGCACACCAGCATTCCCTGCATCAGATAATTTCCCGACCATTGGACGGTGAATCATTTCAAAACAAGTGAAGACTTCGGTTTTATCAAGGTGAGGTGGACAGATTGAATGCGTTAATCCATTGGTGAGAACATTAAGTTGTTCCGCAGTCAGCTTGAATGATGAAATGTTGGTTATTGCCTGTTAGATTCTGCAGTTTTTTCTCATGTGTATTAATAATGTGTTGTACATACCGGTGAACATTTGAGAAAATTTATATCCAATTCCGCTTTCTTAGACTTGATGGATGTTTCTTCAAGCCATCTAAGATCACTAACCGTTAACTTTCCATGATATGTGTCCGCAAAATTGTGGATAATGTTGCCTAATGATCTGTGTAGTAGCAGACAGCAAATGCCTCTTAAAAATACCACAATAATTTTCAACCTCAATACCATATAGGCAAAGCCCAATGAATTTTATTATCAAAACTCGCGTCTGAGTTGGCCTTAATTCTACCTTCTACAAATAAATACTATAAATGTAAATATAATATTATAAAAATGTAATGCATAAGATGATAAAATAAAATTGCTTATTTCGTGAAGGAGTATTCGTTAATGAATCCAAGATCTTTATTGACACCAAATTTATGAGTGTTTAATTGGAAGATCCATTGTAGTTCAACACTACGTCTATCAGAGATTTAAAACCTGTATCTATCATTACAAATTTAATGTATGTCATCAATGAATGTTAGGCAAATTTAATAGAATGTTGTGCAATAGGAAAACAAACTGAATTTATCCCTAATGGATTTCTAATTGTTGTTACACCGAAATCTAAATTTGCTTTCTGTCTCTCCGACATAGCAACCACGAATATTCTGGGAACATACGATTATGTATAACATTTAGTGGAATTACATGTGAAAAGTGGTGGGTGGATTGTTATGTTAGAGGGGGTGGTGATGGATTTGCAAGTAAACAAGGATTTGATAGATTCTATCGTGAGTTGGGGCAGGGACAGTTACCAAATAAGGCTGGGATATTGGGGAGTTTTGAGGAGGTCAGAATGGATTTAAAGTTGCACTAGATACTTGTAATTATTTTCTGTTAGTTTAGTGCACAAAAAGTAGTGATCAGATACAAATCAGAGTGTCGAGGAGTGGAATTTGACTGGTAGATTGTTTGGGCGTGAAATTACTGTTGTGGGCATTATTAAAACCGGATAAAAAAATTTAGGAGAACCTTCTCTATGAGGCCAGATAAAAACACATTATATATTGAGTATAAAATAGCGGTTTCAGTTTTGAAGCTGAAATGAACTCATCCTGGCTATGAACACGTTAGCATATGATGGGGTTATTTATAGTGCCCATAGCAGTACCCTTAAGTTGGCGAAAGTATTTGTTATTAAATTGAAATTTATTGTGTGTAAGTATATTATAAATTCGATGGTAGATACAGTGTCGCCTGTGTAAGGCTGCAAGGTATTACATTTCTCAAGAAAGTTTGGCTAGGTCGAATAAAGCATTAAATCGAGAGTGGTAAGATCAGAAGTAGCCTCTAATGCTACTGGATAAAATCCGAAGTAGGGCACTGAGGATTATTCAACCAACAACAATACAACCTAAATCTTACACCTTCATCAATTTCACTTTCTAGGGTTGCAAACTCCTATTTAATGGCGAACAACCCAGGCTCCTAGATTTGCCATGGTCTTTTATATGCATGAAGATGTTTGTGGCTGCTTTTACTTTCAACTTCCTTTTCAACTGTAAATCGGTGTGAAATGTAGTTAACCAACGATTTAAAATCTTTCGTATCAGTGATTGATTAGTTGCAACTGTTCGTAAAAAGTAGTGTCCAAAAGTTCATTTTCATTAATATAGTCTTGTCTGTTGAGTATTGTGGTAGCACCTTCTTGGCAAGCAAGCTATAACATCAGCCTGTATCTTTGCTGTGTTGTCATCCTCGACACTCTGCTCATTATTAAAGGTAAAAACAAATGTATTTTATACTTTATTGTTAGTAGTTTAAGAAGTTTAGGATAACTTGTTTACTTTGTTCAAATGCACTATATATTACTGCCAACCACTGTTAGTCGATAATGCAGTTGTAATATGAATTAGTATTAGAGTGATGTCCCTGTACAGTCTTTTATGGGCCTTAGCCATATGTACCTTTTAATATTCGAAGCAAGGCATTCCAGATTTTATGCTAAAGATTGAACAATTGATCCACGTTATTCAAACACAATTATGTTTATTGTGATATTGTATAATCCTATGAGATATTTTTAATAATGTAATTCATGTTTAATGCTACTGAAATTATGATTATAGCCCTGTATAATATAAAACTGTATTATATATTATGCTAGTCTTTTTGACTTAATTATATAAATGGGGCTAGACACAAAACATTTTGGCAAGCAAGCTATAACATCATCCTATATCTTTGCTGTGTTGTCATCCTCGACACTCTGCTCATTATTACAGTTTGAGCGAAGTAGTGATCTGTTAGGGGTGTCGTACTGTGATTGGGTTATCGAACAAGGTACAGTCCAGCTACCGAATCAACAGGTGAGAGCAACGGAAGCGTCCGCGTGAATGCTTGATCTGGTCGTGTGTCTGATGTGCTGTGGATTCCGAATGTAAAAGCGTCCAGTTACACCAAGCGAAGCCAGGAGACAAGTCGCGTCGCTACCTTAGATGTCCAACAAATCATAAGTTACAATTTTAATTGACTTATACTTTATATTGTTGTTTGATCTTAATATGTATTCTTGTGTTGAATGAATATATTGTGCCAATTATATTCTTGTCGAAACCTATTACATTGTTCGTCTAATTATTTATTCGTGTCAAAGTCAAGCACGCGCCAGCCCATGCGGTCAGGTTGATCTGGGTTGTTGTTTGTTTTATAACGCCTCTCACGTATCAAGTCGTCGACCGGTCACATTAGTATTTTTATTTAAAAAATATATCTTATTTAATTTAGCAAAAAAAAAGACATAAACCAATAAGTCTTTTGGTACTTTTTGTGTCACAACATTAATATAATGTGTTTTCATTACATAATTTAGATAGATAAGTTTATTAGCTTTCTTATGATACCATATACAGTATATTTAAATTGAATTTCTAGTAACGTACCACCTTTAAAATACCATTTTGGGGTAAAAATTTTTAAAAATGCCATTTTTTGCGGGAAATAACCTTTGACATACTATAATTCCCAAATTGAAAATGTATATGTCTGAAATATTTATTGGTGTTTTATTTTGTATGTGGTCAGTTTTTTTAAAAAAATATCAGACGAAATGGTTGCTAGCTTAGTACTTTTCGTATTCATTTAATATAACAGGTATTATAAATTCAGCCAAAAATGGTCATACAAAACCCTTTATTTTTTTGCTATTTTTTAGGCTATGAAATTGATATAATGTTTTATCATATAAATCATTTGATAGATAATTTCATTATCTTTCGTATGGCACCAAATATATTCCAATTGAATCTTTAGTGTCGGACTAGCTTCAAAATATCATTTTTGGGGGTAAAAACGTGTATAATTTGCATTTTTAGTCAAATTTTACCCCTTCCTCTGATTAGATTTTTTCAAATTTTTGATATGTTATTATTTAATAAATTCTCAGTTAAAAAACAATAATTTTCATTACTATTGCAATTTGTTCCGGGTTGACACTGTTCGAATAGGTGACGTTGTCCGTGTACTCTTTTCCAATAGGAATATCAGATTTTTGTGGGTTATACTTAGTGTAATTTTATACACACACATATTTACCATATTATAAATTTAATCAACTCCATTAAAATAAAACTATATGTTACGATTAACATCAAGTAATTATATTAACAAGTATTGCTTCTTTAACGTTGCTATTTTTGTTATTGGATAAATAATATGGTAATGTGCAAAATATAAAGTTAATAACAAAAGAATGAATTAAGCTTTGATGAAACATTGAGGATTTTTATATAAATACAATTACAAAAACATTTTGTTAGGTCTAAATTATAACCATAAGCCAAAATGTTTAAATGTTAACTGTGGTTAATTATGATTGCTGTTATTATTAACATTATCATTATTATTAATGTTGTTGTTGTTGCTGTTGTTATTATTATTAATAATAATTTTATTATTAATATTATTATTTTCATTGATGTTATTGTTGCTACAGTATTTTTGATATTATGTTTATTATTATATTCATTATAATTTAATGATTATTCAAAAGCTTTTTATATTGAATAAATTATTTCACAAACTTGAAGAATTCAAAATTGAAATCAAACATATACATATCTTACCGTGATGGGTAATGTTTGGTTAGTTTGGTCAGGTCGACTTGTTATAGTTGCTGTAAATGATTCAATAAGGGCCGCAATACTGTCGGAACCGGAATAAAAATATGCATTTCCTCCAGACACGGTAGACAATTTCCCCAGAGCGGTGTCTGCATTGTCAGTGAATGCTATGGTATCAACAATAACGCCCGCAGCTATTACATCATCCAGTACGTCATCAATATCTGGATTATGGGTATTTTGTCCATCACTGATCACAAGTAGATATCCACCATCTGAAGATTGTCCTACTGAAGATAGAACCTGTAACCAGTGAATTATATCCGATTATAAATTATCTCGATTACCTTTAATTAATCTTAATATAGAATTTTAAAAAAAAATTAATCCAAGTGTATAATAAATAATAAATAATAATAATAATAATAATAATAATAATAATAATAATAATAATAATAATAATAATAATTGGAGAATTTTTATAGAGTCTGTTAACAAAATATGATTTGTCACTGGCGCTAATAGGTATAAAACAGAGTTATTGTTTATAGAGATAAGTTTTAGGGAGGTTCCTGGATGAATCATTATCCATAATTTTGAAGCGGTAAAAGAAAAAGAACGTTCGCCAGTAAATGACATGTAGCATTCTAAGATTGATAACTTGATTAGAACGAAAAAAAATAATAATAATGTTATTTATCTATATAACATGGCCGGCGCAACCAGGGTGCGGGGGGGCGCCCCCCCCCCCACTTTTTGGCAGAAAATATATGTCTATGGAGATTTGCGTATGATCGGAAAGAAATGCAAGAAAAGAAAGAGGGAAGAAAGAGTAGTGGGAGCGGAAAGAGTGTGTTTATCTAGTTCCGGACCAGGTTACATTTTCTCGCAATTCACATTGGTGGTTCGCGGGGGGGGGGGGTCCTGACCCCTTCTCTTGCCAAAAAAAATGTTTAAAATAAAAAGAATTCTAGACCTAACTTTTCAGGACCCATGAGCTGAATTTTTTTTACAAAATAAGAAAATTAGAAGTCGGAAAAGCTCATTTACCGCCATCTAGGAATTACAATTTTTCTCGGGGGACGACCCCTGACCCCCTTTCATTTTTGGGGTTCATCGATTCATGAAAAAAAAAGAATACGTATGCAACGTATGTATACCTGTTGACAAAAAAAATATGTCTATTTACTGTAATTAGAATGAGAAAAAAATACCCGACAGTTTTTAAGGGAGAAAGATTTCGAAGAACATAAGTCATTAAAGGGCGCATCAGAAGTCGGGAAAGCTCGTTTCCCGCCATTTAGAAATCAACATTTTTTCAGGGTGACCTCGAACCCACCTTTCTCTTTGGGATTTATTGATTCATGGAATCGTTTTCAAGAGTGGAGAAAACCCCTTTCTTTTTGGGATTTATATCGATCCATAGAAAAAAGAATACGTATGCAACTACTCAATTTGTTTTATGTATGTATACACACATACAATAAGAATGAGAAACATTTTCTGACCGTTTCCGAGAGGGCAAAACCTTTAATTTTGTATTAATTGAACTTAAAATTCAAAAGACATAATATTTTTAAGAAAACGCAATGTCATGGAAACGTTGAAATATACTCTCTCAAACTGAAACATATCCCGCAAAAAAAAGTTCATTATGATTGAAAGTTATTAATTTAACTGGAAATTTTTTCAGATATTTTGCAAAAATGTTCACCCTTGACTTGCCTCTATTCCTTTGAGAACTCCATTACCAATGCTTGTACCACCCGTGGCTGATGAAGGCAATTTCATTTTTAAAGTCTCTCGAGTATCATCATTAGCAACAAGCGTGAGTGGTGCTAACTGAGTACCTCTAGTATAAAACCCAACAATGCCGAGGTAACTTCCTATGTCAATGGTAGACTCAATATACAGAGTTGCTGCTTGACGAAGTTTATTTAATGGATCACCCTGTGTAGAATTAAAAAAAAAACAGATTTCATATAGGCCTACATATAAATACAGTAGTACTGCCTATTTAGGAGACGCGTTTGGGACCGGGAAAGTTTCCTTTTATTAGGGATCCCGGTCCAGCAGCGGATCCAGGAATTTCAAATAGAGATTGTAACTCAGTGTAGATTGGAGAAACGGGCAGACCATTAACAACTAGATTAAAGCAACATAAAAGATATGTTACAGGAAACATAAAGCAGTCATCACCAGAGATACACGGGCTTCCCTAGCAAAGTACACAAGACATTATAAAACTTAATAGACAAAAAAGCCAAATCCTAAAATTACTGGTAGAGGGCGGCCCACAGCACCGGGAGACAATTATTATTTTTTTTTCCTATAGGCCTATGAGAATATTGCCAATGTATATGCCTACACTTACACATTACTTTTTCTATTACTACAGTATGTTAGGCATAATCAGGGAACAGTTAAATTACAACTGTTCCCTTGGCCTAATTAATACCCTCTAGGTTTCGAGCTTCTTAGTATTCAAGAATGGCTCAACTCAACTTTGCACTGCTCCCGTGTTACAACGTGTTTCATGCCTGACTGAATTTGAGGGGTCATGTGACATAGAACAGCAAATCAGGCTGCTTAATTCCTCTCAATGGCAATTCTCGTATATGAAAAAAAATATCGCCACCGGGAGCGATGTTTCTTCCATACCAAACATTTGCATGCAACTTCACTCGGGCTGTCTCGACTGACTTGACTCGAAAAATCACAATGCAGAATTTAGGAGGTCAAAAGGTCATCAACCAAAGTTAAACAAGCGTCTACAAAACTTCAGAGATATGTCGCTGTCTGATTTTTTTTTTTTAAATTGATGTTACCATGCTAATAACTAATTCAGGCGCGGATCCAGTGGGTGGGCCACGGGGGCCCGTGCCCCCCCCCCCGCTAGTCACGCCAAAAAATTATTTTAAATAATGAGAAGAGTTAAAGGGAAGAAAGAACACAACGCTATATCCCCGAGCTTCTAGAGGGTCCAATTCTTAAAATTTGCTCACCTCAGCCCCAACCATGGTGGGGCTGAGGTGGGTATGGAATACCTATTGGGCCCCACTCAGAAAATTTCTGTATACGCCCCTGTAATGGACAGTTTTTTATATTGTACATTTTTATTAAAATGTGATATTTCAATGAGGTGCACGAGAGTTATTTGAACTTAGTTACATGTGAAAATTTTTATTTTTTAGTTAGGCCTAGCTAGGTTTTGAATAATTAAGTACGTAGTCCTATTTATAACTATAGACCTAGTAAATATTATTGTAGGTTCTTGTTGATGCATTACAAGGCGTAGGCCAAGTTAAGTAATGTCGGAATCATAATTTAATGTATGATTATTGTTATAAATGTTATTAATATTATTATTATTATTATTATTATTATTATTATTATTATTATTATCAATTACATTACAAGGCTAAGTTCATTATTGCTGGAATGACATTTAATTTATTATTATTATTACAATTTAATATTATTTTTCTTACTTACTATCCTATTTTTATTTCAATTCAATTCAATTCAAATTTATTTGAGCAAATTCAACACATTACAAATAACAAAACAATGAACAATAAAAAGATAATTTAGTAAAACATTTACAGCTCAGGATAACCCCAAAAAAAACAACCGAATCGGTTTATTTCCGTTGGGGGTCCCAAATTGAAAAAAAAATACATAAAAGTTGGTTAAAAACTAAAACAAACATTGAAAATGTATAACAACCTTTAAAATTTCTAATAAAAGTAAAACTAATAAAAGAAATAAAACCCATTAAACCTTAAAAGTATGTAAAAGTGAATGTGAAAAAACAGCATTTCGTGCTTTAATTTTTTTTCAATTGATATTAATTACATTACATAGTCAAGGCGCTCTGAAAGCCCCCTGCACCCCCTACTTTATACCTGTCATTATTTTTTTTCAGTTACCTTTAAGACACACCATTGTGAGTCAAGCGATTTCTGGTTGCTAGTGTATGTAAACTAACATCAAAGATGGGTACCTTTGTTGTTTAATATTAGGATTGATATTTATTTATTCCGGTATAAGATTAGCAATCAGCAGCCAATGGCTGAATTTGATTGCTTTACATTAAAAACACACACACACACATATATATATATATATATATAGGTATATCTATGGCGAAGCCGTGCAAGGAATTTACAATCTCAATGTGGGATACATAGATGCAAATGGCGAAACAGTTGTAATGCGAAAATTCAGTGGTGACGTAAGTAAATTTTCTCTTTTTTTTTTTCCTGTTTTCTCTTCCCTTCCCTTTCTTTTTTAAGAAAAACAAATTAATAATAATAATAATTTTAAAATTGAGAGTGAAACGGATAAAGTTAACTTATTTTTCAAAGTTGCATTGTTATTAACATCAGCACGTATTCAATTGGTGGACCATATATGGCACAGGGGACGATTTGTAACGATTAGTACGCGTTATTGGCATTTCTAAGGGTTAGCCCTAAAGTCATGTAACCTCGTGTCTCAGGGAGAAGATCTCTGTGGCGATCTGACTCCCTAAGAGATTTAGCAAAGCGAGTGCAAATTTGCTTTCTCCTTTGTTCTAGAGAGTGAAATAAAAATTAACATGTTTTCACTTTGTTCTTTGTGATCTGTTTGTTCTCTTCCTGTTGTTTTGACACTGCACCTTGAGCACCTATTTTGGTGGTGATGTTTGCGGTTTAAAAATCCTTATTATTATTATTATTATTATTATTATTATTATTATTATTATTAGAGTTTCTAGGAGATTATTATAGTGATCTAAATCAGGCCATGCAAGGATCCGTAAGGATCTTCTTTGGATACGTTCCAAATTTTGACTTTGGGCTAATGCGAGTCCAGAAGACCATACTGGAGCTCCAAATTCCAATAATGGTCTGATATATATCTTGTAGATGCATAAGAGGTCATCTCTTTGCACCCCATTTTTCTTGAGTCTGCTAAGAATGTAGAGTCTTTTTGAAGCATTACTAATGATGTTTTTGATATGCTGGTTCCATTTAAGGTCCGACTGAATAATAATGCCCAAAAGCCCAATGGCAGTGGTGGTTTCAAGTGGGGTATCGTTTATGGTAAGCAATATTGGGGGCTTGGGGGTGTTTAAGGAATGATATTTGCATTGCTTTGCATTTAACTGGGTTGGCTTTCATATCATTTGCCATACACCAATTGGTGAGGGAATTCAAATGTTGTTGGGAGTTTTGACTATTCATTCTTGCAGGAAATTTCTAATAATGAAAGATCATCGACATACTTCCAGCGATGATTTACATCTATTGCAACGTCATTTATCATTACTAAGAATATAATAGGGCCTAATTTTGTACCTTGCGGTACACCGCACGTAATATTAGAGGGTTTGGAGGTTACATCGCAAATGCGAGTAGTCTGCAATCTCTCGGAAAGAAAACTGCATATGGTTAGAATAATAGAGCGATCAACACCCATCTGTATGAGTTTATTTACAGCAGTTGTATGATTTATGTTGTCGAAGGCTTTGGTAAAGTCTATTGTGTATAGATTTGCATATTTTCCATGTATATCTAGGTTCCTCTGTATCGTGTCTATAAGGCTGATAAGGTAATGCGTTATCGAGCTGCCTTTAAGATTCCCATATTGCCGGTGATCAAGTTTTTATTTAATGTTATCTAAAATCCAGTCACTGAGGAATCCTTCAAATAAGCGAGCCAAAATGGGCGTTATCGATATGGGTCGTAACTGGTTGACATCTTCAATTGACTTAGTTTTTGGTACTTGAGTTATTAAGGCTATCTTCCAAGCCTTGGGGAAACATCCTCTTTTGAAGCATAAATTAAATATTTGCGTTAAGGGGACACACAGTTCATGGGAAAATTCCTTGAGTAGGTGAGTAGGTATATCTTCAGGATGTTTGGCTTTGGATGCATTGAGTTTGCATAATCTGTGATAGATTTGATGCCGGAATATTCTAGGAGGAGGTGAAGGAGCTGGTAAATATGTAATAATAGCGGATTGGTCTAACGCTTGGATCTGCGAACATATTTTGGAGAAAGGCAGATTGATTTGGTCAGCTAATTCTTTATGAATTTGCGGGGTTTGTTTTCTAAGTCTGGAGAGGTTGCGAATTTGTTGATGCCATTTTCAAGGTTCAGAACTTTTTAAGTGCTTAACTTTTCTGTTGCATACTTCATCTCCATTGAAATACACATTTGCAATTGTCGATATTTTTCATAATTTTTCTTATAGGCACGGTTACGTTGTCGTATCAGCCTTCGTATATGTTATTCATCCATGGTTTGTCATTCAACTTGCGAGTTATCGTAATAGTTTGGAAGCATTTCCTGTAATTGGTATTTCAAGATTGCATTGAACTTTTCAACAACTTCTTCTGGTTCTGAATTTTCATCGAGAGCTTCCCATTCAAACTGGGTTATCCATTTACCAAATTCCCTTAATGCATGACCAATCTCGAAAAGGACGGATAGTTTGCTTATGCGGGTTAAGATTTAGTTCTAATCGAAGAACGAGGATGATAATGGACAATTATAGAGTGGTCACTGGAGGCAATCGGCGCTGATGTTATCGGTTCAAGGTAGTAAGTGCCAAGGTCCGTCAAGATCTTATCTACATTTACACCTCTAGTCGGTATACTGACTACCTGAGAGAGGATTGTGTAAAGTTCCAATGGTTCAGTGACCAGATCATTGAAGTCTCCCATAATATTAATTGATGCATCTTTAGATGTAGTTCTTATATGATCAACCACCGTGATTATATGTTTACGGTAGCCTGCAATCTCATAGCTCGATGCTGGATTGTTGTTTGAAAACCAAGCCTCAGTGACTGCTAGGCCTATCAGGAATGGTTTTATATCGAGAGTATCAATTGTAGCTTTAAGATTGCTTAGTTTATTGTTCAATGATCTAGCATTGAACATCATTATGGATGGTAGTCTTGGCGGTAACTTCTTACAATTGGTGGGAATGTTATAAGATTCTTTATCTTGACACCTCGTTTGTTGCTCCGTGTAGGCATTATACGTTGCATGATGTTAACACATATTTACCTACGAGTATTCCTACCTGCACGTCTACCACGTATTTTTTACGGTACCAGGTGCGAGTATTAGTGATTAATTTCACCTTAGCGGCAGTAATTTCGCCTTAAGGTATTATTTCTAAATCTTTCCATTGTTAACATTTCCCCCTATGGTACTACATAGTCGTTTATATATATGTATATATATATATATATATATATATACTGTCTCTTATACACATCTAGAAAAATGATGACAGATATCAGTGGGGTGCACCTTTTCCGTTCCTGGTCCCTGGACTAACAAGGCTTAGGCCAAGTTCATTAATGCTGGAGTGTTGTATTTAAATTATTATTATTATTATCATTTAATATTATTTTTCTTAATACTGTCCTATTTTCAATTTCATGCTTCAACTTTTTTCAATTAATTTTAATTAGGGCCTACATTACAAGGCTTAGGCCAAGTTCATTAATGTCGGAATGATATATTTAATTTATTATTATTAGTATTATTTAATATTATTTTTCTTACTTACTGTCCTATTTTAATTTCATGCTTCAATTTTTTTTGTCAAAACTTCAATCGGTGTCAAGTGAAGCGTGACTGTTGGCGTCATGCCTAGGACCCTAACTAGGGGAGGCCTAGTCTATGGATGGGCCTAGGTGATGGACCAATATAGGTCCATAGTAGGACCTAATTCAGCTTTAGTTAGGCCTAGTCTAGCCTATTTTTCTCTATCTTTTGATAGTACTGTACCAGTGACGGATCCCGAAATTTAAAATAGAGGGGGCCCGGGGAAGTACTTTCACTTATGGAGGATCTACACCACCACTCCCAACCATGATGGGGCTGAGGTATGAAAATTCGTGATTATGGCACCTCTAGATGGCCGGAAATTGCACTCTTAGGCTTAAAATTTGAATATAATTTTCTATATATCTCCATTTTGTTTTTTATTTTGAAAAATTCAGGGCAGGTGGAAGCTTCCCCCGCCCCCACCACCACCACCCCTGAATCCGCCAGTGTGTACCTACTGTATCTATACTACTGGTACTACACTTTATAGAAGGGGGTAGGACTTTTACTAGCTGTTGATGTTGTCGTTGTAGGTCACCATAACAAATCCCTTACCATTTAACATACAATAAACTTACAGTTAGTTACAGATGTACATTCCACAAACATGTAAGAATTCATAGGCCTACCGTAGTAGGTACATATAGAAAGAACTGTAATAGCGAACGGTAATACTCGAGCGGCACGACATTGCGAAGTGCTTGCAAATTGTTCCTAATAATTTAAACGTTGTCAAGTTAATCCGATTGGATTGGAGTTTCATGCAAATGTTTCGTACGGAAAAAATCGCACACCGGGAATCGTCAACATCGTGTGATGAAGACCCGTTGATCGAAACGTCACAAACAGTACGTATTTATTCGTTTAAATTTATTCTGAGTACATATAAATATAGCTTTACAAATGTTATTGACGATAAAACCACAGACCTTATATATTTTTATATAGGGTCTGTGAAAACCACAGACCTTATATATTTTTATATAGGGTCTGTGATAAAACTCAATAGAAGTAGGCCTATTGCAAAATAACCTAAATTTAGTTATGGTTACCTCTATGATTTAACAATGTGCTTCTTCTAACATGGGCCATAAATCAGGCATCGGGACTTTGTAATCCTATAAAATTTTCTCATATCTATGATAAAGTTTTTACTTTCTGTTGGCTGTTATGTTAAATTTAGCAGAAATAATAAGAATAACAATCTTCAAAGTTTTTTTTTTTTTATCTTTTTTTAGATCTTTGGTAGGGTAACCTTACATCAACACTCTTTCGGCGTGTTTAAATCACACAGTGAAGAATTGGACCACGGAAAGCACCCAGTGATCGATTTATGGCTATATCGTCTTACTCGTTTTCAAACCACCCGGTGCACATTACCAAGGGTTTGCATTTTTATCTTTACTTTATCGAAAATGTATTCATCGAACTTTTATTATGTTTTTTAAGTATTTTTGTTATAATTATTTCGTTTATCCTCACAGGCCAAGTTGTTAAATTGCCTTGTGAGCCGCCTATTAAGATCCAGGGACCTATACTGATATCAATTTTAAGGATAAAGAATAAAATTATTTTATGATGTAAAATTTATGGCTAAAATGTTGTGAAATGATTTTTTTTAGTCAAATGCTATTGCGATATAATATCAAAAAAATAGTGTTCCTTTATAGGGAATGAAAATGTGTTAATTTTACTATTTGGCACACTTAGAAAGAGTACCAGTTTCCTTAATAGGGAGCTAGGCGAGGAGTAATGTTTCTGCTTTTTGCGCTGTAGACGGTTCAAACCCGACCAGCGTCTGGTTTTATTAGATCGCTCCGCTCCACCTTCGCATGAGAGATCCGTAGTTATATGTCAGTGCTGACGCAGATTTAGGGGGCCTAGTGTGGTGTTATCTCGGTCGGCCAAACTCCCCCCCCCCCATCCCCGCCTTTCGGACATCTCTGAATCAGCCCCAGACTGTGACAAAATTTCCAATTTCAAATATATATATTTATGATCCACTCTTTTAAATGTAGGCGGTATAAAACTTTTTCTTGTACATATGGCTGTCAGCGACACGACCAAAATTTGAATGTAGGCCTAAATAAAGTGGACTATAAGCATATCATACCAGTGACACTGTTTTGATTGTGACAGAAATGTTATACTCAATATTTGCAACTAACCGTGTTCCTGTGTACTAGTGTACACCAGGTTTGCCTAGCTAATATAACACCCTAACCAATGAATATACAGGAAGAATGAGCAGAGAGCCCCAAATCTCGTTTAATCAACCGAATTGCATGATGGGAGGCCAGTGGTGTAAGGCGCCGCGTATCGGCGGTGTGTATAAAAACTTGTGTAGCGTAGGGTAGGCATAGACTAGTATAGATAGTTAGACCATTTTAGGTATTTATTTATATATATATACATACTTTAATCGTCTTCATACAACACTACAAAATGAAACGTGATAAAAATAAATATAAAAAAAATAAAATAATAGTATAATATACCGTAAAACCTCGAATTGAATCCCCGGGCTTCTTCTTTTATTTGCGAACGTTGGATGGGCTTCTTTTGGAGGCCACATTTGTAAAGTAAAGATGGGGCTTCTTTTCAAAATGAATGCTGTAAAGTTTGAGAATTAGTATTATAAAACAATAAATAGGGCCACCGTAACATCAATCTGTATCATGGAGTGTATTAACTGGCATTAAATCACCGAAACTACTGTATAAACCAATTTATTTTGTTTCTTTAAAAGTCATATACAGTTTATGTACTGAACTATCTTGCGAAGAAATCTACGTTATCTTGATAAGAAGCTCACGGTCTTCTTTTCGAGACGGGCTTCTTTTCGAGGCTAATTTTGCAAACTGAAGAGGTGGGCTTCAATTCGACGAGATGGTCTTCTTCTCGAGCCCAATGGGCTTCAATTACAGGTTTACGGTACAATCGTATAAAAATTATGTATTAGATAAAAAATATATGTTTAGAAAAGGCCGTCCACTGCAAGTCAAAAGTGGCATCACAAGCAGCCCACCCTCAACTATTAGCTGTAATTGTAATGATATGACGCACTTCCGGTAAAAAGCGTTACAATTCTGTAATGCAAAATACGCTCGCTGCTCGTTCATATCATTTGCTATCTATATTCTTTGGATAAAATTATGACTTACCTGCATGCTGCCGGAAGTGTCAAGAACCAATACAACGCGCCGTGCTGTAGGTTGGACAATTTGAAACGATGGAGTTGTATCAATATTTTCCTGCAGTTGTGGGCTCCTACCGTCTCTGAAGTCATCGGTTGTCATCATTACATCCCAAACACCTTTTCTTTCACAAATATCATTTTGTTTATTCGGAGCTTCAACAAAATGTTTTAAGGAAGGATTGACTTCATTTGTACTGCAAAAGGAACGTATCTGAAACCCGAATGTTATACAGATATTCGATAGAGAAATAATTATGAGTATTATAATGATGCCATTATTACCGCAACACGGTTAAAAAAAAAAAAAAAAAAAAAAAAAAATTTTTTGAGATTTTAAAAAAAAAAAAAACTTTTTTGAGATTTTAATTTGTTAGAGATTTATGGTAAGGTCGTTCGATAGGGATCTTTTTCACAGAAATCTCTAAAGTGTTTTGACTATTACCGATCATCTTATGTTTTTAGTTCATAGTTGACAAAATATGTTAACAGCAAGACTAAAGTTTATTCGAATTTTGAAACAGCAAACGTGAATTTTATGGTTATTTTTAAAAGAAAATACAGAAAAGCTTACCTTTTTGAGATTTTGAATCAGAGTGCCTTAGGCAAGGTCGTTCGATTGAATTTTTTCACAGTTAATTCTAATTTTTGTTACTACCACCTATCATCTCATGTATTTTAACTAGTGGGGGTAAATATTTTTTGGCTGAAATTCATTGGCACTTTAACATATTAAACGTGTATTTTGTGCTTATATTTGTAGAACATCTCATGTATTTTGGCTGGTGGTTGTCAACATTTTGACAGAAGGAATAACATTCATTGGCAATTCAAAACATGTATTTTGGACCTTTAATTTGACCAAAGTAAAAGCAAAAAGGCGGCCTTTTTAAAATTCAAATTGACAATTTTGATTGTTTTTTTTTGGTTGCTTAATTATAATAGAATGTAGCACTGTGGACACAATGAAATTGATATAATTATTTCATTATGTATGCGTCTTCTCCTTATCGTGTGCACAGAAGCCTTCGACTTTTGACCGTCAGGGCAGGCCCTCGAAGGACCGATCTGGTCTAGCCTAGGCATGACGACAAATGGTGATACAAGTATTCCTTTTATACCTTGTGGTGGTGAAAGAATTTGCGTTACCTGGCAGGCGCGGATCCATGGTTTCCCTGACCTTCGCACAAAATGCTTGCAGTGGTGGATCCAGAAATTCGAAATAAAAGGGGACAGAAAGGAACTCTCACAGAGAGATACCTTCATCGGTTGGGCTGGAGTAAGAAAAATTATAATTATGTTGCCTCTAGATGGCCAAAAATGGCACTCTTGGTATTTGAATATAATTTTCATTTTTTTTTATATAGGGCCCTAATTTTAAAATATTTACGGGGCCGTGCCGACTGGGGTCCCTTTGAATCCGCCACTTCATGGGGGAATCCCATAACGCTCAGGTGACATAGGGTTTTAAAACAAATATTCCTAATTACGGCATTCACTTTGTTAGCAAAATATAAGGTATACTTTACTGCCGCTGAAATCAAACCTAAATAAATAGATTGGTTTGTTAATAGGTTTAAAACAAGTGTCAAAGAAAGTATGGTTGTTGGAAAAACGTCAACATTTTTGGTTTTATTTTTCAGCGTGTCCTTCGGCACAGCAAATGGTGCGAAGGTCTGGATCCACCCCTGTAGCCACGATGAGGACGCTACTACCATAACCCCTAATTGTATATACTTTTCCAATTTAAAACAATTACCGAATTTATAAACTGCTTGTACATAATCGAAACTCTAGCTTTCTGTGTACTCTTTTCCACAAACTGACAAGTCTTAGTGTACACTCCGGTTAAGGGGTCTACACTACATTTTCTACCAGACTTTTCTACATAAGTACCAGCAATGGATTCTGAACAGCGTGTTGCTTCGATCTTTCTTTTCCCCTTGAAAAAAGGTTTGTCGGTTGGGTACTCATCAAAAACGCCCCATCGCAGATGGGCCCACTCGTGAACGATCGTCTTATCTGGAAATTAATAGATATACTTTATTAATGTGCTTATTAGTAGATGCTAAAATATTACGCAAAATTCGTAGTTGCATATTACAGTCACAGGTGTATTTCTGTTCATTTAAAAAAATCACCAACCAATCAGATGAGAGTATGACGTTAAAATTAAATTACTTTCTACTGAACTTTGGTAATTGTTGTAAATATGTGAATGGTTGACCATTGGTCTTATAAGTAGTTCGAAATACTGAACCCTCAAAATGAATCTTTTTCGGAGCTACAGTTTTTGTTTTTTTTTGTTTTTTTTTTAATTAATATTATGGACCTTTTAGTTAAGAAATATATTCTAAATTTAAAGCTTTAAATCAAAAACAATTCGGCAAATACTAAAGAAAACATTTAAACAGTTCTTTTGAACTTTGTCTTTTTTTTTTACAGAAAATTGACAAAAATAATGTTAAAATCATGAAGTAAAAGCAAAACCATTACAAATTTATTACTTGAAAAATAACTTCACGCTACTAAGACACTCCTTTGATTTTTCGATTTTCATACTCATATGTTTTTAGTCAGAATTTCTGTACCCAAATAACGCTATTATAATGTACAATTGATACCTGGATACTCACTGAGAAAAAAACACATGTTACCAACCATATAAATCTAATCAATAATAGACAGTCCTGGTTGAACGTACAGACAGTGGTCAATAAAAATAAATAAAAGCAATATTTTATATTTATTTTATGTGTATTTGGGGCTTTATCTTAATGTTATTTAACGGAACCATTTTCAAACTAATAAATGGACATTAGAATTATATGTATTCATCATTGAACTACAAAATATCTTAGTATTACTGCAAATGTGTAGAGAATGTAAATAGCATCGGTATTGTTTTCTGATTGGCGTATGCCTTATAGTTATAATAAAAGGTAAGAAAGAAGGATAATACCTCTTGGACCCCAACCACTTTCAGCATACTCTTTATTCCGCACGTACTGTGGCGTTAAGTTAATGTACTGCCCCTGTTTACCACATTTACCAACTAGAAGTGCATACGGGCTCTTTGATACTCCATAATCTATGCGGACATTTGCTCTGTCGAAGGTTTCTGTTTTTGATGGTTTGTACTCGTTGCGATGGGTCCATGATTGGGGTACCAGTATCGTAATGTTTTTCCAGTAAACTCTATGGTTCGTAGCTTCAAAAAGGAAAGACGAGCCCTCTGTAAAAATCTCCTGTGAAAAATAATAATGATGAAATTAGCTATAACAAACGTCTTCAGAAAGAAAGTCAGGGAAATTCTGGATTTTAAAAAATTAGGTAGAGAGAATTGCTATGTCAAGTAACTGTTTCTAATTTTGAATTCCTATTGTCTACTTTATTCGACAGTCAAAACAATATACAACACATGGCTCCTCATGTTTTGTGTTATCAGGAAAATTTATTTTCATTATTATTTTGGTTCCAAGATGTTTGCCACCCAACTCGTTTGGACACGGCTATTAATGATAATAGTAGAGCAGCTAAGGAGAAAAATCGTGCACTTTTGGAAGAAAGCATGAAACTTCCCACAGTGATACTATGACACCTAACGATCATTAAAAAAAATAGACCCCAAAATATAAGCCGCTTAGTGGCCGCCATCTTGAAATTCAAAATGGCCACCAAAATATTGGATGTTTATCAATAATCTTCATATCTACAGCACCTAGCACTGTCATTCAAAGGTCTTTACCTATGTTTTCAATATCAGGGAGAAAATATATATGATTTATGATTTTTATAGGCTCTCCTTATATTTTTATTGCTGTCTTATTTATTATATCAATAATACTATATTTAATTATACATTGCTGTGTTATACTGTTATTATTTATTTTGGCGCCATTTTGGCTATGCTTTGGTTTTAGCTTTTTTTGGGGAAGGTTTCCTCCCTACATTGTTCTATTGTTTTATGCTTTGTTTTATTTTCTGGCTTTTAATAAATCATTTGGCTTATTCATTGAGGCATGCCTCTAAAGTTTAGTTTTGGCCTTCCTGTTTACTTGTTTAGGCTCTTTATTCTAATCCCACTTAGCCTATTGTTTCTAATCATGCTTGCATTAAATTCTCACTTTATACTATCTGGCTTTTTCAACCCTCATTCACTCGCCACTGAGGAAGGACTAGTGTTGTCCGAAAGCTCTGGTTCTATTTCTGGCTGTTTACACGTTTACTTTTTAGCTGTTGCTTATCATTTTTGTATCTGTAATAAATCAAAGAATGACTCACATTGATTCTTTAATATGTTTTAACCAAGTTGACTGGGTTATCAGAGTTTATTCATTAAAAAAATATAATAGGAAAAAGTAGCCATTGATATGCTTGTGATAATCATTGAAACTGTTTCACTGTATTTTTTCTTAGATATTGGAAGGTGATAATCTGTCTCTTATACACATCTAGATGTGTATAAGAGACAGGCTACACACAAAAATTAATTATATATATATATATATTTATTTATATGAAAATGATATTTAGAAGTCTATTCAATATTATTGTCTTCCTTCATACCATTACTTGAATGTGATATTTAATTTGTCTACATAATTTCATTTATGCTAAAGTTATCTAGGCCTATATACTTTTCTTAATTTTTCTTGATGTTTCTTTTGTTTCTTTTCACTTTCTCCATTACATTCATTTTCTATTCTTTTCTATTTCTTTTCCTTTTCCAGTTTTTCCTTTCCGTTCTTTCTTTTCCTTCCTTTAATTTTCTTTTCCGTTTCTTTCCCTTTCAATATTTACATATATGTTTATATATCATTTGAAAATGATAATTAGCCATCTCATAGACATGAGGTCTATTCGATATTAGTGTCTTCACTTAATTTGAATATTTGATTTATGTTTATATAATTTCATTCATGCTAAAACTAGCTTTAATATAAATGATGTTTAATATCTGCATCTATCTCTCTCCCTCTGCACTTGCTCTCATACCATACAAAGCAGTTATTTACTTATTTTTTTATTTTCATTACTTTCGATTGATTACCAATTTGTTATTCCTTAACAGTTTTCTATTATTTTTTAAAATTTCCATTTCTTTCATGTACTTTTCTTAATTGGCAATCATCCTGAAATCCAACGCAGTTGTCGGACTTCTTCCTAAATGGTGTTACTTCACTGCCATAGGCAAGTCTCACTATGATTATGAGATGTTTGATGATTGCATGATATCCCTAATTATACATATACACAATCTTGATTCACAGTGCTGGTAGTTTACATATGTAAATATGAAAAAAAATGGCCGCCATCTTGATATCCTATATGGCAGCCATCTTGAAATTCAATATGGCGGCCTTCTGACATAATTTCTGATATCTGCAGGATACTCTCGGATATCGAAAACACGAGTAGAGATCTTTGACAATGCTAGGTGTTGTAGATATGACGATATTTACAACAATATCAATAATTAACTTGGCGGCCATCTTGAAATAGTATGGCGTCACCATCTGACATTTCTGATGATTGCATGACACTCCCTGATATTGAAAACATGGGTAATGATCTTCAGTTGGAGTGATATGTGCTGTAAATATGAATACATAGGCTAAAATTAATTATTTTGGCGGCCATATTAAATTTCAAGATGGCGGCCATTTTGAAATTTAATATGGTGGTCTTCTGCATAATTTCTGATGGCTGCATGGTAGTCCCTGATATCGAAAACATGGGCAACGTTCTTTGATTGACAGTGCTAGGTACTGTAAATATGAATATTGACAAAAATATCATTAATCTGGCGGCCATCTTGAAATCCAATATGGCGGCGCCATCTGACATAATTTCTGATGATTGCATGACACTCCCTGATATTGAAAACATAGGTAATGATCTTCATTTGGCAATGACATGTGCTGTAGATATTGGCTAAAATCAAATATTTTGGCGGCCATTTTGGATTTCAAGGTGGTGGCCATTAGGAGGCGTAATTTTTTGGGGTCTATTTTTTTTAATGATCTTTAGGTGTCATAGTATCACTGTAGGAAGTTTCATGCTTTCTTCCAGAAGTGCACAATTCTACCTGAAATTCAACCTTAGCCGCTCTACTATAAGAGAATAACCAGATTTTTAGTCTATGATAATTTCACAGCTTCTTTCATGTTACAATTAACTTTTTAATATATCGTCCATAACGTTCTCATAGGCTTATTAGAGAATTTAAATAAAAAACAAGATAATCTTTGATTACAAACCTTCGCTCGGTTCAATATTAGGCTTATAAGATGCGCCATATTTTATGTACTGAAAAGATAATGGCCCGCGGTGGATCATAGGCCTCATGTGGCAAGCTAATCAATCGGGCGAATGTGGACACCATCCGGACAGCTTCCAGTCCGCCTGCCACAATTTGACAGACAGTCGGACCCCTCGAGTCAGCCCGCGGTCGACCCGCTGGCGACGGCTCGGCCTAGCTAAACGAGTCTCTCATAGATGACACAACTGTCATTGAGTGCATCAACAGAGACTTGTGGGTTGCAGTCACTCTTCGAAGATACGACTACAAGTTGGGCTGATGAAAACCATATGGTTATAGCAAAAGAGACACAAGAAATGTTGGTGAGTTGTAAAAAGAATAAGTCAACATTTTATCCCCTGTTTATTAAGGACGAAAGCATTGAAAACGGATCTAGGCCAGATGGTCGAAATCCAGTTTGCCGAATGCCAGTTTGCCGAGACCACTTTGCCGAGTGCCGGTTTGCCGACTCAAAACCATGAATCCCAGTTGGCCGAAACCCAGTTTGCCGAAACCCAGTTTGCCGAACCCAGTTTGCCGAATCAATTGCCTAACCCAGTTTGCCGAAAGTCAGTTAAAAGCAGTGAAACATTAACAGCAGCATAAAATTCACGATGGAATACTTAAGCTTACCATGGACCTATTTAATACTATAGGTCCATGTTCTTACCACTACTGCATCTGTACGAAGTGGTGGCACTATGTCTTTCTCCATTGTTAACGGCTACATTGGTTTATATGTTTTGAGGCATCTACTGACTGATGACCACCTGATGAAAGGGCGATGACCGAAAATACAAAAGAATATAGGAAACGAATACCATGTATAGACTTCAGAAACACTTTACTGGAGAAAACCAACATTTTGACCTATCATCAGGTCTTTATCAAGGTACATGAAAAAACTAGCCAAAAGTGGACATATAGCCAATGTAGTGGGAGGAGTTAAAGAATAAACAATGCGGATTATAATGAGAGTAATTGAAATCTGGTAGGCCTATACATTACAGTAATTGTAATAAACAGTTTGCAATGAGAACGGAGATTAATAGTCGTTCCCACATTATGCCGACAGCATAATAAACAGATTATGACCAGTTAATTATAGGCAACAATTTCAGATCTACTAAGGCTAGAAGATGTCCCGAGGGTATCCGTCCAGTCCTCTAGCCTTAGTACAGTAGATTTGAAATTGGATTCGGCAAACTGGGTTTTCGGCAAACTGGGTTAAATTCGGCAAACCGGGTTTCGACAAACTGGATTTCGACCAACTGGGAGAATACCTTAAAAACATTATGTCAGCTAAATTACTTGGAGTTTATATTTCATCAGATTTATCTTGGAAAACCAAGTTGATTAAATAGTAAACAAATGAAATACCTGGCTATATTTTCTTAAGCGCCTGTGTGCTGGGTGCAATTTGATGTAAGAGCGGTGTACACGTTTATGTGTTTTACTCCTGTTATTGCTTCAAATCGTGACCGCAGCCTACGACGCTGACCTAATTCTCTTCACTGCTGTAACAGCAGTGCGAATATCGTCCTTGTTACCACCCGTTCGCAGCCAAGCATTGTATCGTGACGTATGAGTGACTCTTCCATTTTCAGCCAATCAGAGTAGATATGTCCAGAGTGGAAAAACAAACTAAAGATGGGTGCTTCAGTACTGTAAGCGGATTAACTTAACTTAATGAACAACGCCAGTAAACATCAGGCATCAAATTTGTTGGTAGGACGATATACCACTCTCTGCATATCAAATTTTAAAAACATATATTTATAGGCCAACTTCTTACTGAATATTCCATTGCATTTTATTGCTTTTTAGAGACGCGTCTGTGTTTTGTTTTTTACTCCATTGACTGTGCTAATATTTTGAAATCGCTTTTATGGGACGCACCTTGAAATAAGTAGTTGTTACTTTTTATGGCTTATTATTGTATGATACTCAGAATATCAATAAATCACAGCTCACCACTATCGTAATAAGAGCATCTGCTTCTCTATTAAATAACAACATACGATCTCTCGTGAACTCTACTCTAACCCCGACCTAACCGGTCGCTAGGCAACTTAGGCCTAGAGGGCGGTATACCACTTACTTAGTGGTTAACATAGTAGCCCTACAATTATTAATTATTTTTATAAATTCAAACTATTCAAAATTGATTGGAAATTGAACTTAAGAATATTGCCAAAATTTGTTGGCAATGTTTCAAAAGATGATAGTTCCTAATGTTGAGATTTTTCTAAAAAAACATTATACCTAGGTTCATCATAATCTGTCTTGTTAATTTTGAATGTTAAGTGTTTTATATTTTGCTATGCTTATGCCTCTAAATTAGCTCACATGGACAGAATTCACTCAAAATTGTGGTATTTTAGTTTTATTTATTTTATTCAATTTCCAGGTCTATTAATACATCAAAACCATTACAATCAGAATACAATACTTTGAAGGTATATAAAATAGGCTATGTAAAAAATGAAATGCTGAAATTTTCTCATAAAATGTACGGTAGTTAGAAACAAATACAATAAAATGTAATGAAATCGTCAACGAGATAACATTCATGCATTAAAACTGCTGAATACAATATACACTATTTTTATAAGAATATATTTTATACGAGGCTGAAATTGCTTAAAAATTTAAGAACCAAATAAAAAAAATGAGGCAGAGGTAAAATGTCAAAGGAGTTTTTTTATTTAAAAAAACACTTAAAAAAACCCAAAAATATATCTGTACCTTATGTACAGTAGGTGTGACTATGTAATACCCTCTAATACAGTACAGCTGGCGTACCTACCTGTCATCTGGGGTCATTTTTACCAGGGCCCTTTTTTGGGGTCCATTTTTTTCCGGGACAATTTTTTCCGAGGCCACTTTTCCGACATTCCAGTGCAGAATTTGAACATTTTGAGCCTGAAATCAGCCAAAAACATAAAAACACTGGGCACAATTTTACTGGTTAACGTTCGACAAAGTGTATCGACAAAGAGCCAAGTTAAATTATTTAAAACTATATACTGTACAGGTTGTTCTATATACAGGTAGATAATAATAGGTAAAGTGGGTTCTGGCACATTTGAATTGTAAAATGACAGAATTGGAATAGGGGGATTCAAAATCAATAAAATCTTGTAGGCCTATATAAAATCAATTTAGCACTTGGAGATAAAAAAAAAAGTTTCATTCTCTGGTCTATAGCTTATGAAACGTTTGAAAATAATATATTCAATGTCACCAACCATGCTCTCTATTCTATTCAATTTTAATAATATCGTATCTGCTTTCAACACAGCGCTGTGTTACCCCCGTTTCCCCCGCTATCATTTTAAGTCAAACCAAATGCAGTCAGTCTCGTATACATTTATATAGGGTGATGTATGTAAATTAGGCTTCGGATTTGGCTTAAGCAATGACCTTCATTTTGATTGGTCAGACCTAAGCAAACTTCCCGCCTACGAACCAATCACTGTACTAATTGGCTAGTGTGATATTTCTAACGAAAGACTTTCAATACAAAACCCTTTAATTGACAGTAATGATTTTGCTACACTAGTAAGCATGGGCGTCGGTCGGTGGGGGACATGGATACCACGTCCCCCACTTTTCAAACTAGGGGAACATCATATCAATTGTCACCCCTACTTTTCACCAATCTTGAATAGTTAAAACCCCACTTTTTGAAACGAGTGGAAAGAACAACAAAATTACGAATGACTGTCATGAATTTTGTCCATTTACTTTTGCTCTGTTCCAAGTGCGGTGCGTATTTCCGCACCAATACTGAGTAAAAATGCAATTGTTTCGTAACCATCTCAGTAACCACTCCCATCAATTTTATGTATGCACCGGTTATCAGAGGCTACACTTATTATGAAAACAATGTACTGTACGTTGTTAAAATTGGAAGCGTGCAAACCTATAAGGCCAACGTTTTTACGAACTCAAAGTTCACAATTCTTACTATAACCGATTTATTCCTTTTGTATTATTAAGGCCCGTATATTATACTAGTGTTCAATATTATCTGCATACGTAAATTCCTGTTTTTCCTAATTTAAAAAAAATATATATACAGGTAGTTAGTAAATTGAATTTTATATAACCGTTATAAACAATAATTATACAGCCTTGTATATTATATACCCACGGATAGGTCTGTCTATTTCGACTTATTTAAGTAGTAATACCACAAGATTAAGAACTCCGATGTTACTTGACGCAATCTCGCATCATGCAGGGGCGGATCCAGCAAGGGGCCGCAGGGGCCCCGTTCCCCCTCCCGTCAATCCGCCGAAAAATTAAAAAAGAGGGAGAAAAAAATGAGAAGAGTTAAAGGAAGGAAAGAGGGGGGAAAAGAAGTGTACCTATGAGCTCAGTGGCGGTCACAGCAGTGGGCGAAAGGAGAAATCCATTATTTTACAACTCATTTTTGAATTTTCTATTGATTGACGTGCGAACACCACGTTACGCTGTATCCCCAACGCTGATTTTTTTTCAAACGATTTCACAAACCAGGATGTGAAAAAGGCCATTTATTCAAAGCGGGAATAAATACGGATGCGAGTTGGCATATTATTATGAAATATGTCCTCCTTCCAACCGTTCATAAAAACACAAGCATTCAACTACAACTGAAAACGCATTATTTTTATGAAGGCTTATCTTAATTTCTAGATTATGGTAAAAAGAGATAAGATGCAGTCTGGGCCTATGGTATGTGACACTGTAAAAACGGTGATTCCAAATACTAAACTAATTTTCTGCCACCCAAAACATCAACGAAAAACTTCAACATATTAAATATAATTTTATATTGCACATTTAAAAACACGCTTCAAGGAAACAACTATGAACACCAACCTATTCCAGCCTCATTATTGTTCACCCAACCTATTCCCGCCTTATTATTGTTAGCCTAATTAATGTCGCTGTAAAGGAAAGTAAGTTTTATCTAACCTTCCCATCATGCCCGCTGTTTCTCGCTATAAAGTGACTTATGATTTTTTTCAACGTAAATTAGCTTTTACGTACTTTTACTGATTGTTTAGCTAGGTAACGAAGCTGTGAAGTTAAGTTGAACATAAGGTACATGCTCGATTGTATAAACTTTAGTTACTCTATTTTTGTAATGGATACATAGACAATTTATTAAGTGTTAGAAAGAGTTGCAAATCTGTGTCCCATAGGCTCTTATCATCCAGACCACGAAATACTAAAATTGTCCTGGAACTAAAATTCGTGCTACACCGGCGCTTCACTGTTCCCTGGCAATACCATTCATGGTGAGGGTAAATATACAAAACCTCTGCATTTATAATAACTAATCCGGGTAAAAACAAATTAACTAAATATACCGTAGTTTACTGAAATGTGGCAAAAAAAGACCGAGTGGCACTACCCTCTGTAGCAGCGGGCCTATGGAAGCAAAATGCTAAGTGGCAACCGGCCAAGACTCATGTAAAAGCCGGGTGGCAACAGGCTTCGATTAGGCTACAACGGACCTAGGGTGCCAATAATGTTCAGGTGAATCATTGTCAGTGCTGGCAAATTGATTCATATAATATTTTGAGCTGCTATAATTACGTGACTATTTGCGAATTGTATCTCTTTAGCATTATCAGATTTGTTTGATTTAAGTACTGTTACCCATCATTGGGAAAATATTGTAGGTGAACGTAAACCGAAGGGTAAGTGTAAGAAGTT